AAAAAAAAAAAAAAAAAAAAAAAAACTGTATAGTAGACAGCAGAAGGAATACTTAAAGAAAACCTGCTACATTCTAAAAATGTTGTTGACGATGGTGGAATATATAATTGGCTTGCTGACTAGCTAACCGAATGAATGACCAAATAAGTGAATGAATGAAAGAATGAATAGCCGAAGAAAGCCATGAATGAATGAAGGAATTGAATGAAAAAATTTAGGAAGGTAACAGATGGCAACGCTCAACTGCAACAGCAGCAACAGCGACAACAAAAAAATACTGCCAAATCATACTGACAACAACTGTATGATCAAGCTTGCCAACTAAAATTTTGCATCGGTTTTTAAGTTCACAGATTTTACATACTGAACTTTAAGTATTAATCGGATAAGTGTAATGACCCATTGAGTAAAAGTATTGTATTCATTAAAAAAAAAAAATTAGAAGACTAAATGTATGTACAAGTTATTGATGAATCATATTGATATTTGTTCAACCGTGAAGAGTATTTTTACATCAATTTAAGGTTTCATTTAAATACCCCTGTTGTCTTTCTTTTTTTTTTTTTTTCAAAATCATCATTCAGTTCCTTCTGTTCTCAAAAAAATAAAAAAAAAAATTTTTTACCTGAATAAAATAGTAAATAGTTTTACCAAAATAAAATTTGCCGATTTTGTAGTAGGTACCTATAGTTTCAAAAATTGCTATAATCCTAGAGCGCAGTTGTCAAATCTGTTCCGCAATAACTATTAGTCAAAAATTAGAATCCAAAAAAAAAAAATCGTTAAATTTGTTGTCGTGCACAAACTTTTCACCAGTATGCCCTCATCAATTGCGTATCATAGATCACTGCCCGTTACAGTCGAACCGGAAACCAAAACAATTGCTCCTAGGAAAAGGATTTGGGACTGGAAAGGAAATAACAGTCCTCAAATCACTTTTTCAGTTTTTAAACTAAAGCTGTTAATCTTTGTCCATTTTTCTGTCGTTTATTGTTATTAATTTTTGACAGATTCATACACAGTTTTGAGCAGCATAGCCAATTAGTTTAATGTAGATCAACCAGTGAGGCAGCCACGAATAAATGCTGGCGAACAAAAAAAACAAATGAAAATCAGCTCAACTTGCAAATTATACCGAACGCGTTTTATGAGCCAAAGACATTGCTTAATGTTTCACACTCCTAATCCAAAATTCCAGACGAGCTTTTCACCTATCGCTCTTTAAAGCAAACGCATTTTTTAAAATTCAGTTCCAAAAATCGCACGAAGCTAGTTCAAATTTAAAACATATAATATTCTTTCATAACAACCACTACCTCTTTCTTCATCAGCAATAACAGCACTTAACGGTAGCCTAACAAGCAAAATTCGAAAAAAAACCATACAGTTGACGACGAGCTGACCAAACACTTATTTACTCTCTCGCAAGGAAATTCTAGATGCAAACCACATTTCAACACTGAAGCAAAAAGCAGCCCCGAACAGATCCACCTGAACTACAATGCTCAAAAGGTTAGCGAATAGTTTTAACACTACCAAGTACTTCTATGACAAAAATAGCAATAATAACTCAAAACAAGTGCTGTCAAGAATCCTGGACAGCGAAGAGCCGAACAGTCGAAACAGCTTCGAACAGTCGGAATAAATAACGTTAAAACAACACTTTGAATCTTTGCCACCTGACTCCACAACAAATCTAATCTATCTTGTCCAGCCAAAATCTTGCATCCACACCACTGCACTCTCGCTAAATCCGTTCAATAGATTCAGAAAGAAAATATAAAGAATGAACATGAAATAAAGCTCAGCAATTCCTCGTCTACCTCGGTTTTAGATCATTTCAGAATTCCAACCCACCCTTAATTACGACTTCCTCTACTACCGACAAGTGGTAAAGCCAAAATTAGAAAACGTTCAATATGAAAGCAACACCAGAGAAAAAAAAATTCTTTTGAAAGTATATTAAATAAAACAGATCCATTTGAAATCATACACACAAGAGCTCGATGAGGGAAAAGAGACTTTCTACTCCACCCACTCAAGAGCAAAAATCGTTTAAGCTCCTTTTCAAATTAAATGTGACAGTGGCTTGCGACGAGGGCTGTAAGTTTACAAATTCAGAAATTTTTCCCCAACATACGATAAGAAAAACTTTCTGTTCTCGAAAGTAACGACCACAAAAAAAAAAACAACGAAAGCTCGACCGTTCAAGTGGTCAATGATCTGATCGTCTACCGTATGCGAGGTTGAAGCCTCAATATTCCAATATTACAAACAAACAATTAGAGTAGAAAGCACCAGTAAACAAAAGAAAAACTCTATACATTTGATGTCAATATCAAAAAAGACCTGATTAATACTTTAAGGAACACTTGAGACGAAAAAACAAAAAGCTTTCAAAAGCTCTGCACTCATCTATAATGTTTTAAGATGTTCATAAATATTAAACGCCTGATCTTGACTAGAATACTAACTACGACTTCGTTAATTTTATTCATTGTTACAGCTAAACCCGTAATCGAGACTCTAAACAAAACTACTTTCTAAGGATGAAAACATGGGAAAGTTAGCTCGGCTGAGGAACAACGTCGGTCAGACCAATCCCCATCGGCATAGGAAGTGTTCCATTTTTGACCATATCCGCTCTTTTTAAACCCCAATTTTTACGCTCCGCACGAGTCCACCTTGGAACTTCTTCATCTGCCAACATGCGTATCATCTTCTGAAAAAAACATTGAGAATTAATGCTTTAAAAATAGGAAATGAAACTTCAAACTACAGCGGCAGTTTGTCATAAGCCTCTAGTCTCTATCTAAAAAACCTGGTCTTGATTCCTAAAGGGATGCTCCCTCCATAAAGCCTCCAAATGGCCAGGTGTGTTTGCATAGAATGGTGGTGGTTTCGGCTTATATAGAGGATATCTTCCTTCGCCATAAAAATCGTCAAGTTTCAAACGCTAAAATCACAGTTGCTTTCCGAATCAAACTCAAAAACACTAATTTTGACAGAAAATAAGAACAATTTTTTTACAAAAAAGGACTTTCATTAGTCAAAAGTAATGTTTACCTCCACAGGCGTGAGTTCCTCATCGGTCCTTAAGCGACTAAATATGGGTGAAGCAATAATCTTTGGCATGTAGTGCCTCGCTGGGGAAAGCTCGACAACATGAAGGCCTTTTCGCTCTGCTAGCTGCTGATGCGTTTCTTGATTCAGTAATCCTGAGAAAAATAGCAATTTCCAAAGCAGCTTAAAAAGATCAGTTAGAAACAAGTGAGAAAAAAAATTTAGTTCCTGTAAATTATTTTCTGCTAACCTGTGATAAAAGCATGAGTTAAAGCAAGATAATTTTTCGTGGCTCCTTCAACTTTCACGGAAATGTCTTTAATACCAATGATCTAAAAGATTACTATTTTAGTTCCTGTAAGAACTTGACTTTATGATGCTTTCCTAAGAACCTGTTCTCTAGCGTCTTAAAATGCTATGAGAATTGAAAGTCCTTTCCAGTGAGTACTACCTCACAAATCTTTTGCAATCTCGGATGGCAAAACAGCCCATAACCAGCGGGACGACGTTGCGCAAAAACACGAGTATTCCGGCATTCCGCATAGAAATCCTGATAAATGGTTCTTCCCTCAAATAATTCGACGTAAAATAATTTTCTTGACGCCATCTTCATTCCACTAAGAATAGCACGAAGAGTACGGAAAAGTGGAGCCTTCCCAACAGCATATCCAGCCAAGCCTTCACCATTTCCAACAATAATTAATGCGGCAACACTAAAAGTGCGTCCAAGACTGCCGGTCATAACACATGTCTTTTTTAGCTACAATTCAGAGTGTGATAAACGGTAGAATAATATCAATATCAATAAAATCATACTGAAAACAAGCCTGCAGTAATATCTTAAAGCAACAGGTAACATGTAATAAATCCAAAAAAATGAATGACAACGACAAGTATTGTAAAAAATGTTTGAAAAAAATCTCACGTCTAAGCAGATACTTTCAAAGTTATCGAATGTAACATCGCCGACTGGTGGAGGGGGACCCAGTTTCTGACCAGTAACTTTCTTCCCTGAGAAACCACGTTCGAGAGGATGAAGTTTTTGCGTATCGAACTTTCTAAAGCAACTTAACTGCATCAAGAAAGAAAAAGGCTGTAATATAATTCATTATGGGGAATACTACAAGAAAGACAAACACAGATATTCAATTTTAAACGAAACAATAAACCTACAGTAATAATACACTCTGAAAAGCGAAAATTCTCAATAAATTTACCCTCTCGTTTTTTCTTCCAAAACCCTTTTTATTCTTCCTAATTCAAACTCTCTTTCCTCATCACTTTGATTAACAAGTTGAACGGCAGACTTGTTTTCAACTGGAGCGTTTAATCCAGGAAACTTTACTTTCAGCGGACCTTTAATCAGAAAGGTATTACGAAAAATGTAAAAAGCTTTTTGAAAGCTTTAGAGAAAACAGTTGAACCAGACGAACGATTATAAAAGACTAACCAGAACCAATACGATAAAACTTATACAGCGGTCTCTCAGGTTGACGAGTCGCTCCACGGCCCTTCTTCCGACCAGAACTACTAACTGAGGTGACAGTCTTCCACAACGCTTCGCCAGTCCCTACAAAAGTTTAAAGAAACGATATTTGGTAAAATGATCCTTGCAGCCAGCCCTATACCTACAAACTCCAATAATGCATTAGCCTACCAAATTTTCAAACCACTTCCTTGAGACCATAAACTTGACCGACATTCGAAAATACAAGTTATGCCAACACCAATACCAAAAAGGAACTCAGTCGTACAATTTGAAATATTATTTATAACTTACTGCGCATAAAAAAGTTAACGGTGTTACATCTTCTTTGCAGATATGAGATCACCGAGAGTGCCATCAGTGAAAAAAACCAAACCCACCCGTCTAAAAATAAGTAGGTTTAATTAACGCTAGAAACTTGCAGAAATCACGTTTTGAAACAGACGGTTTTATAACAAATGTCACCCTTCTTAAAAACCTTCCTTTACTGTTCCAAAATAAAATAGCTCTAACAATAAGTGAATGTTGATTATACATGTTAATTTATTGATGAAAGTAAACAAGATTTTTCTAAACTTTCCGTAAAACTTACTCCTCAAAAAGTGACAATGAACAAATAAATGTAGTTATAAAACAATAAAAACAGATGAAAAGATAAAACGGAAGCCTACACAGCATTTATTCACCAAGAAAATGACAATAAATTAACAAATATTTGTCAACATCGTCGAGAAACCTCACTCAAAAATAACAGAAAACGACTGAAAACGATGTCAAATATTACAATAAGTTCATGCGATCACAAAAGACTGTGCATTTAAGTTTTCCGAGAATGGCTTTTGTATCTCAACTGAAAGACAAAAACTAAAATGTCTCAAAATAACACATCCTATTCCTATGGCTGACGATTTAGCGCCTCAGACTGTATCAAAAAGGCTTAGAAAAGTTGTATAATGCTACCGGGAATAATTCACTAAAAAATATCGCAAATTTCGTTTGGAGAGTCAATATTCCTCATCGCGGTCAAAACATGGGAAAAGGAGAAGAAGAGAAAACATTGTGCAGTTGCGAACTACTAAAACATAAAAACACAGTCCCAATATCACAGCAAATGAATAATAACCAAATATGCACAAGCATAGTAAAAACATAGAAAAAAAAAAAAAAAGAAAGACCGTTTTTCCCTTGATCAAGTCCTAATATTTCATCCAAGAGACAATGACACGCTGTAGCCAAAATTATCAAAACGAATGAGCATCGACAGCACAGTAACAAATACACCCAAATCATCAAGAAACATTCATGACCAGTAACAAAAAAGTAGGAGCTCATAACTAATGTACAAATGAAGGCGATGCTTAGAAAATATTTGCCAGAAAAATATCTAAAATTAAACTTTTATTAACCTATAATGCACTCAAATGGTCTCCAAAACAAGGAAAAAAATTATAAAAAATACCCGAGTCAAAATTGAGCCACTGCGATAATCAGTAACGCCCATGAGCTTTTCAAAGTTAAAAAAATTCTATGCTGCAGGTGGCGCCGCTAAATGATTGCGCCGAAAATAAGCAAATATTAAGATAGTTATAACTCCTGCTAATCCAGTCATCACATAGAGGTCCCAATTTGTTCCTAACAGATATGTCAAAGTGGCATTTAACGACGTCTGTAAGCAATTAAGGAAGCATACGTTATGTGTAAGGATAAAAAAGTCAAAGAAGAGAGTCGTGGAATGAAATTAGAACCATCTATAAGAATTTAGACAAACAAAGAAAGGTCATTTAATGTGGAATTAAATGTAAGTACCTGTCCCAAATATTCGAGCAAAAAAAGAAAGCCAAGCTTCGTTAGTGCTAAACAGACAGGAATATACGCATCTTTACTTTTTTCTGCAGCCATGTCATAATACCTTTTAGCTAAGTGAATATCCTACAAGCAAACACTGTATAATAAAGAAAAGTAGAATAGAATGATTCCCTACTCTTTTGCAATCAGATATTCAAAATATAAAGGAAAACAGCCAATTCATTTTGAACGGAAAGAAAACTAACCCTATTTATTCCAAATCCTTTTTCATGCATATATCCAAGGTTGAAGAGGGCTTGAGCAGCTTGATGACGTTCACTAGCTATTCTGTACTGTGTTGCAGCCATTTCATAATCAACTGGTGTTCCCCACCCATAATAGTGATAATCTCCTAATCGAATACGAGCAGTTGCATAGTCTTGATTCGCCGACCGTTGCCAATAAAGCAGTGCCCGTCGCCAAGCTTCTTCCTTAGTAAAAAGCTCAAACTCTCCTAAAGTTAAATGCAAATGATGATTGCATGAGTGAAATAGCTCGTGCCAATTAAACCAATTAAACAAAAAAATTACTTGAACAACTACAAAAAAAAAATTAAATCTCCTACAAGGAAATTTTGAAATCAAGTACCTCTATCAAGTATATATGCAAAATTAGTTTGAGCAGGCTCGTAACCCAGTTCGGCCAGGAAAAGATATTTGAAGGCTGCTTCATCCGTACGTCCGTCCCTGTAGCTATTGTATGCTTCCATCAAACGCTCCGACCATCGCCCCCGTTCTGCCACATTTTTGTACAGCTCGACAGCTGTATGACAATTGCGCGGTGCTCCAGCGCCTAAAATTTATCATTATAACTGCCGAGTTATAAAGAAATAAAACAAAATAACTTCGAATTGATATACCTGTTGCATGTATCTGAGCCAAATTATAATAGGCCAAAACATTGCCCGATTGAGAAGCTAGTTGAAAATACTCAATTGCCGATTTGTAATTTCTCTTCACACCCAAACCTTCTGAAAATCTCTGGGAGTAATTTCAAATCTTTTTACAGCTAAAAAGTATAAAAAAAGAGGCAAAGCATGTTTTTGAGAAATTTTAATATATAGCAAGAGAATTCTTAGAATATAATGTAAACAAGTGTTATAAGAAGCGGAAACTTGCTATAATACATATGACCAAGATTAAGTTGTCCATCAACCCAACCCTGGTCAGCAGCAAGTTTGAACAGTCTATGCGCTTTATCATAGTCTTGTTTCACCCCTTTCCCATATAAATACATAACTCCAAGCCCACTCTGACCAATAGCATTGTCCTACAAAAAAAAAAAAAAAAAAAATCAAATTAAAACAGCGAGTAAAAAATGATAAAACTGATTTGACCAGAAAGTAAGCAAAATACCTAGAAACTCGAACTAACTCAATCTAAAGGCCATTACTATCTAATATGTCAAAAAACAGTGATATAACTAACACTTTGCGCAGCTTTAGTAAAATGTTTGAAGGCAGTCTCGTTGTCTTGAGGTGTTGCAGTCGTCCCATCAAGAAACATTTTACCAAGATATGCGTAAGCACTAGCGCTCCCAGCCTCAGCGGCTGAAAGAAAATACTGTGCAGCAAGCTCATCATTTTGCTCAATCCCTCGTCCTCCATTCATGTAAAGCATACCCAGCGCCACCTGATAAATCAGTTCGGTTAGACAATATTTCCCATTTCACATTCTTAATAGCAAACAATGAACAAAAATCTTCTGCCAGAAATCCAAACTAAAAGATAAGGAAGACTGTAAATTCCTGCCAAGAAATGGTGAATTTTAATTACCTGAGCGGAAATCTCTCCCTTATCAGCAAGATATTTATAGTAATTCAAGAGATTTGAATCTAACAAAGAACCGGCTGAAGACGATGCGCCAAACCCAACCAGATCCTAAAAGCGTATAAACTGTGGCAATCGACATAAATTTAAATTTCAGAAAAAAAGTGCAATTACGTTTTCATCAGGCAGCCTAATCCGTTGTATTGCTGTGCCCCCGCTCAAACGGACTTGCTCAGCAACTCGAGATGCAACTTTCTTATACCAAGTTAAAGCCCGTTCGCAATTCTGAGGAACAGATATCCCAGCCCAATAACGATAACCCTTCAACAGAAGATACAAAAGAGCATTAGATAAGAACGACATCAAGTGCCTCATCTGTGACTAATCGACAACAATTGGCTAGTTAACCACCAGATGCATCTAATAAAAAAAATTTCCAAAAACAAACCAGTGCCATCTGAGCCAACGGATTTCCACCCAGTGCGGAGAATGTATAGTATAAAAGAGCTTTCGACTGGGAAGCCTCTGGTACGCCAATCCCTGTTCCGTACAAGAAAGCTAAACCTAACTGTGCATCTGCTGAACCTGTTGACGCTAAATTTTCAAACAGTTCTCTTGCTTCGTCCACGTTCCATCGCGTATGATCACCAAAAAGAAGAGCAAATCCTAAATCCTCACGAAATGAAAAAACAGGAAAATAAGAGGAGCTTTCCCAATATATCTCCCAATGTTTAATAACCAACCCATCAATTTCATAGCTTCTTTGTTTTTTAGTTCCGCTGCCTCATCCAATAATTTATAAATAATTTTCTTGTCCTCTGAATGAAGTGATCGACCTTTATTCAGTAATCGCATAGCTCTTTCATACAAATCGTTGCCTCGTTTCTCAGTGTCAGACAATTCCCTAAACGCCATAATTTGGATCAAGCAGTTTACTAACAGCGTAAAAATGACCAACAGCTAACTTCTTTGCATCATCACTCTCATCTGTATATTCATCGCCTGCTGGTGGACGACTGGGCCTTGGTTTTGAAACGTCTGATTCTTTTTCTGGTGTTCCTGCAAGGCTGAATTTTAGCACGAATAGTAACTGTCAAATAAGCAGAGGAAAAAAAAATAAAAGAGTGTGTAGGGGAAAATCAGAACTTATCGTTACCTGGAGCCTTTTCAGCCTCATCTGGATCACTGTCTTGTTCTACAGCATCTTCTTGATCAGACTAAAACAATGTAAGAAAATAAGAACTAGTTTGGTTTATTGTGCCAAAAAATACCAGAAATTATGAATAGAGAAACTGTCTTTCTCATTTTGAAATTTACACAACAACCCTACCACTGCTAAGGCTCAAATTTAGAACTTCAAACAGTGACTTAATGCCGAAATTTGTAACAACCATAAAGTTCAGGCAGATGTATAGTTGAGAAAAATGAAGGGTTAAACGCGTAAAAAAAAGCAAGAAAGTTCATAAAAGAAATAATTTTACAAAATGTTTAGCAGGGTAAATTAGCTTCAACAATGAAATAAGAATGTTTTGAGGGCACCTAAAACTTAAAGCATCTTTTCTAAACCATCGTGACAACTCTAGTAATAAAAAACAGAAAAAAATACAGATAAAACGTGGCAAAAAACGTTCCTTACAAAACAAAAAAGCTTTAAAACTCTACTTAATCACTGTACCATAAAGAAGAAAGTAGATTTGGTAAGGCAAAGAAGCGGCTAACAGAATAACTAACCTGCTGTAATTTTTTATCTGTTGTCTGTTGTTGTAGATGATGTTTATCGGATTCAGTATCCGATAAAGCCAATAAAGATATCAGCAATAAAATATACAACAAATATAACCGCCTAAGTTCAGCCATTCACTAAGAATAATAATAACAACAATAATAATAACAAATAATAATAATAACGATTTTTTTTCTTTTACTTATTATTTCCTTCTTTTTTTTTTTTGTTTTTTGTCTCTTTTCTACTTTGTTTTTTTACAATTCCGTTCAGTTGCAAACTGAAAATATTGTGGTCGTCAGGTAGGAAATATTACCAGTAGAATACGGAAGCAATAGCACACACAAACACCACAGAGAACAGCGAATATTTGACAAAACGACGACAACGACGACAGCGACGACAACGATGATGATAACAATCCAACAGAT